TTCCAACAAAATAAAAAGGCAAATGACTGTGGAAGTTGGAGGCCAGAAGAGTGCCCATGTGCCAAATGGCAGTGGCGACATTTGCACGGCGTTTGGGGAACATGTAAGACAGCAGCTGCTGCACGTGTTCGTGTGTGTGTGTGTGTGTGTGTGTGTGTGTTTATGTGTGTGTTTGTGTTCGGCACAGTCAGGAGACGAGGAGAATGTTTGCATTTTGCGGGCAAAAGTTTTACTGTAAATTGCTTTTAATCTAATGAACACCGCTAAAGAACCCGATGTGGAAAACAGAACAGTCGCAAACGTTGCTCGAACGACAAACGACCCCTGACGTTAAACTCATTTTTCCTCGGTGGTTTCATTAGAAAATTACTTAAGCTGAAGGCGCACGTATGTATTTACTATAAAAGTGAACCTAAAGCTTGAGGTCCAGCTTAATGAGCGTAAAGGGTTATCTATTTTGGGCAAAGCAGCAGATTGTAACTAGGGCTTAGCCGAACTCAATTTTAGCCCAGTAAAAAATGAGAGTAGATAAGTTACTCCTTTGAAGGTAAACAGTTAAGGATAACAAATAAGTAGAGTGCACCTGTCGAGAGTGTCCGACCAGCAGTTACCCTGAACTCAGGGCACAATTCACAAGGCAGCTGGGCTTCTACCCCTGTTAAATACTCTTTTTAAGGTACAATAATTAGGGCAGATAACAGATCACAAGCCCATCCCAAATACGTTTCTTTTCTATTGATTCGAGGTAAACATAAAATTTAGTAAAATCCTTACACCTTAAGATATTTCGGTGGTAACAGCTGCCACTTGAGCTTGTACCTCATTCTGCTGCAGTTTCTGCTCGACCCAAGTCCTGCTCGTGCACGGCAAATTCGAGTTACTCCCATTTTTCATCGATTCCTTGCAAAACTGATCGTGCAGATCGTTACAGTCTGTGTTGCAAATGTTCTTCCAGCCCTTGTCATTTATGTGATACAGCCGCACAATGCCACCTGAATAGGCGTCCTTGCTGGTGGCATGATAAATGGCACGACGTGCCAAATCGAAAGCCTCATCGGTGGTCAAATCCCAACGATAACCTGTATCTAGCACACCCAGAGCGTATGGTGAGCCGCTGCCCACCGAAAAGACGCTGCCATGCGATCGCATGCCATCCGAATCCACATATATGAGTTTACAACCCTCATCATCGCAGCCGGCCAGCATCATGCCCATGACCAGACCCATGCCTTTGTATTGCGTGGATATGTTGCACATCATTCGTGCCGCTGCATCCACAGTGATACGGCGCTTGTAGCGCAGCTCATGCAGCCGGCATTCACGTGCCAGCACCCGATCCCAGTAAACGCAGTCGGCAGCGCCACCGGCCAAGGTGCCAAGCATATAACTATTGAGCTCCACGATCTTTTTCATGGTCTGTGAACCAATATATTCGCCGGAAGTGGCTCGCGAATCGGCACAAAGCACAATGCCTCCCTGATACTTGAAACCTAACGTCGTGGTGCCATGATCACACTCCATACGCACCTTACAGTGTTCGAGAATTTTGGGCAGATTCTCAGCCGGCTGCAAGCGAGATTGTGAATGATTTTTCGGATTGTAAGTGCAATAATTTCATTCGTACATTTTCAAAGGGTGGAGCCATTAACGAATAGGGATTGGTAAAGTTACTGGTTGCAATTTGAATCTGATGCAGGTCCCACTCTTTTTGAAGCTCATCGAAGCGCTTCATAAAGGGCAACTTATTCACACCGGATATAGCTTCTAAGGCCATGATTTTTCAAAGTTAATACTAATTTAAAATAAATTTGAAGGATCAGGATTCTAAATATGCTAAGAATTTTGAAAATAATTCATTTAAGTGAAATCAGAATTTGTGCTGTCAAGCATAATCTGATAGATCTAAACTGTCTTTCTTGAATGTGTTCAAGAACTGGCATTAATTAAACAATTACATATTTAATCTAACTTTTGTTTTGAATATATTATTTTTAATAGTTTGAAATTTTACTCGTAACTTTACTCTTTTTATTAGGTTATAAATTTAGTTGTCACACAAGTCACATTACTACTCATTTTATTAAAACTTTTAATGTCGACCCCATTCGCTATGCTTTAGACAAATTTTCTGCATCTAGAGATTTGCGCTTGAAGCAGCAGCAGCTAATTTCCAGTCTTAGCCAAAATCTCGCACTTCACTTGACATTCTCTTGGCCATGTCCCAGACCCACTCTATCTGTTAAAACAGGTTCAACTAAGCTCCAATTAATTGCCAAGTCACAAGAAGGACCAGACTGGGAGTGTGTATAGGGAAGATGTTGCTGTGTCTGCTGCCCTCTAATAAACTGGCAGCGGAAATTTTTAACAAGTTGCCATTTGCCAGAGTTCCCGCCTAGCCTGAGCTGTAATTAACGCACACAGAAAACACAGGCCAGAGAAGATGAAGAAAAAGCATCCAACTGCAGCTGGATTCCTTGCTTTGCATTTCGCTTGTTGTAAGTCGCGACTTTAATGCAGCTCGCAGCTAAACTAGTTGAGATTTTGCATATCAGATGGCCGCTGCCAGCTTCCAGTTCGCCCTGTGATTTAATAATCAGCCAAACTGCCGACTACCAACAACTGGCAACTTCTGCTGCTGCTGCTCCTGTTCCAGCCAAATGAATGGCTTGCCCCTGTTGCATGGCCATTAAGAGGGCAAACGAACTGCGAACTGGAGGCGCGTGCAAAATGAAATGTGGCCAGTGTGCAGCACGCATGGCAAAGAGCAGACCCATACTCTGTGTACACTCAAAAAAAAAGATTTATCTTTTTTTTTTTTGTCACAAATTCACTTTTGCTATGTTGTCTAAGGTAATATCCTTGGGAATTGAAGGTACGGAACGCCATTTTCATATTTAAGAAATGATATTCCTTAAAACAACCGTAGTAGGGAAAAAATTTTTCTAAGTGTACAGTGGACACTGGTTGGCAGCTGCCAATTTGCATAAATTTAGATCAGTGACAATTGACGTCCGCAGGCAAAACTGAAATATTTTGTAGGCGTCAACCGCTCCATCTCTCTCTCTTTCACTCTTTAGCACCTCATACTAAATGCAACCAAACATTTGCAATTGTCGTTTAATTAGAAACCAAACCGTTTGCTCTGCTTTTCGGTTAATTTAGGTGCCTTGCTCCCACTACCTCGCTCTCTGACTCCGTCTCCCTCTCTGTCTGTTTCCACCGGAATCTCAATTAAAACGTCATGTTTTTCACATTGACAAAGTCGCTGCGATCTACTGGCTGCACTTGCTCCAACTTTGGTGGGCGTTGTTGTCTGCTCATGGAAGCTGTGTCTACTGCGTCTGCATTGAGCTGATTGGCTGCTCATTAAAGGCAAGCTTAATTAGAGCTAATCTTGCATACATGACCTAGAGTCTAGCAGTGCAATCAGTAAAAAGAACTTATGGTAAATAATTCAGTTTTGATTCATCAAATCTTCCACTCATAAGTAGCTTTGTCAAATAGACTTGGAAAAAAAATACTTTTTATAATATTGCTCGACTCAGCTAAAAATTTGTCGCACACTTTAGCAAAAAATGCAACAATAACATGTAAGGGTAAATGTGGTCGTCCCCATAAACAGCTCAGAATTTCCACAAAAAAAAAATCTTTTATGTTAATAAATTCGAACTTTTAGTCCTATCATCTTTAAATGGTTACGATGGCATTCAGGTAATGTTATTCAATTAATGATCATTGTAATTTATTCCACATCTAGCCATAATTATTAAAGTCTCTAGGTTCTAAAATGTGATTTAGTTGAAAAGTGTGGAAGGTTTTAAGCTATAAGTAATTTATAGTTTGAATCCTCTTACAATCGAAGATTTATTCGCTGTCATTTGCACAAATGCCGTTAACACGTTTATACTTCGTTTACAGGGTATAATAATCCAAATGTAAAAGTGTGTGTTTGTAAATGTTATATTTATTTTAATTTTATTTTATTTAACTTTGCCTTTCACTTTATATTATTTACACTGCTGCTTAGCATTATTGTTGCAAAATCTGACAAATCCTTTGTTTTACTGCTTATTGGCAGTAAAAGTTTCCTTGAGTAACTTTTAAGCTTGCTTAAGGCACAGGACAGAGCGACAGCTGGTGGATGCGGATCCAAAGCATGTTTGGGACAGCTTTCATCATATACAGAAGTTGTGACTTGACGCTGTTGGTTTTCTGTCATCCCACCCCACCACACCGCTCCCCATTCCACCATAGCCACTATCAAGGAGACAGCCGCATCCAATTTACAGTTCATCATCTGTCCCGTGCCTGTCACAGAGGCTTCTCGCAGCGGCTGCTGCTGTACGTAAATTTTGACAGTGCGCCTAATTGAGCCGCAAACAGTTTTGACATTTGCGACCGCGCGCCGCATTTAATTTATTTTAATTGAAACGGTCAGGCAACGGGTTAGCTGGCCTAATCCTCTAGCCGGTCCAGCAGTCCAGAGAGTTCAAAGTTGAGGCTGCAACTGAAACTGAAACGGAAACTTTTGCCAAGTCGCTTATTAGGTCAACTTTGGCTGACAGCTCGTGATGCAGGCGCAATCAGAGGGGAGATATACCAATAGAAACAAAGAGAGAGAGAGATAGACAGGGGAAGAGAAAGTGGGAGAGACAGAGTCCAAATCAGAGTGTACCAAAAGGGAATCAAAGAACCAAAGCGAAACTATTTTAACAGCCGACTCACTAACAAAGTATCCAATTTTTACGACGATGCATTAAATTTCGAATGCTTGCCTATGCCCCATTCCTGACATCAATAATGCCCTAACAATTGAGGTCTATATGCCTGTCATGGATTTTGTAAGAATATTTTTCTATATACCAGTTTTTTTTTTAAATTGTTATTTTAATTGTTTACACTCAAAGAACGTATTTTAATAAAATTTAAAAGGAATGCAAAGCCGCCCGGTTGTATAATGAGCGACTTTTTATATTTGACCCAAGAGAAAGACCTGTTAATTTTTTCCAGTATAACTATATTTATCAGTAATTTTTGTTTAAATTCTCGAGCACAACATAAGCTGATAGAGAGCATATTCAGACTTTTCATCAGTTAAATAGTGTAAATACCCGATTCTGCTCTTTCCGGCAACAACTTTGGATGCTTTTAACGACTTTGCATTGGGTTTCATTGCCAAAAGGCCGCTCCAGCTTTTGCATTGGCCGTACACCACACCACATTGTCAGGCCGAGTTGAAGTCTCGTTTTGATTTTACGGCTGACAACATATTCGCATTCCATTGCATTTCACATCGCACATCCTTAGGACTTTTGGCTAATTGTTGCGCTGTGCATTTTTACGGCACTTTGAAAGCCATTAATTCGCATTTTATGTACTTAATTAGTTTTCTGGCGCAATTTTATGACGCATTTTCCGAGCAATGTCTCGTAAATTTTGATGATCGATTTGCATCGATGCGCAAAGTTTGAAGTGCCCAGCCCCAAAAAATGTAGGTCTCAAAAGATAAGCCGCCTCAACTTACATTTTATAGCTCACACGTCGTACAATAGCTATTTCGGAAACGAATTGTATTTCATGGCAAACTTACATTATTAGCCATCATAAAACCGCAAAAGCTTTTTAAACTGAGCTACGAGTGGTTTTCCGGTTTAAACTTTTCAATACTTGGTAGACTCTTTTGATTTAACAGAACTCTTTTAAAATACTAAATAAAATAAAATAAAATATTTATCTGACCGGCTCGAGCTTAAGGCATAAGAACCGAGAAATAAAGCCAATTCAAATATAAGCCTCTATCGAAGCTTTAACTTGTTGAAAATTGCAAGCGGCAAGCATTCATTTTTGTAATATTTTATTTAATTTGAAGCTTCTACAGAGAGCTCAAGTTAAAGCGCCAAAATCGCTATTATTTATGCTTTTATGTGCGACATTTCTGAAATAGGCTCAGAATAGAAAGCCCTAATTTTGTGTTAGCTCGAATGCATATGACAAGACGTGACGGGCCATTGGCAGCGCCTGTTAGCCAAACAGCAGAAGCTGCAGCAACAACAATTGAAAAGCGTTTTCATTGTTTGGCAAAACGCGGCAAAAGGCCGCACAAGGCACGCGCGCATCCAAAAACCAGCGGGCAATCTTTTGTCCAAATGCGTGGCGGCAGCACAGGGCATACAACAAAAATAGGTAATGACCAAAAGAGCTGCTAATGTGGCGGCTGCCTTCGCTTCCGTTGAAGGCCACCGATGCGGCATCCATTTCTCTGATGTTGTCAGTGACGTCTGCTTCAGCTCCACGTTTATCGCTAGCCTGGCATTTGCATTTGCATTCGCATTGCGATGCGATGCTTTGTTTTCTCGTGCAGCTAATTTGCCCACAAAGCGTAGAATTTGTTCGACCATGTGCCTTTGTCCATGTTGGCATCGGGTTAGTAATTGTTGGACCCGGCTACCGCTGCTGCTCCCTGCTCTCCCAGCTCTAATCAACTTTTTATGCTGCACAATGCACACATGCTCGTACATGGCGTCAATTACACAGCTTCAGTAGCCAGTGTTCAACGTTGCAATGCGATATAAAAATCAATGGAACGCACGATTGGCACAAAATTAGTAGAAAACTAGAGATGGTCATCATCTGGTTACCTGTGAAAAAAAAAAAAAAAACGATTCTTCCATTATTTCTGGACTTTTCAATTTTTTTGCATTCCACGCATTACCCATAAAAAATAATGTATTGAAGTCCTATGACTGCCACCCTTTATTTTTTCCACGTATTCAAAGTCCTTTGATTAGTCTGCAAGTTTAAAAACTCAAAAGAAAATACTCCACTTTTACCTTTAGTTTGGTACTGTGAACATTTGGTTAGCAGAATATATGTAAATATTTATTATAAGCTTATACTTTTATTTCTATGTTTACTGATCCAATGAAAATTATCTTGATAAACGTGAACATATGAATTGAAATTGATCACCTACTCCCAGTCGGACAACACTGATCGGTAGTTAAGAAAGAACTTATCCCAACAGTTCCAGGTATTTTTAAGTCACTGTCACTTATAATCGGCCAACTCTGAAGCTAGCCAATACTCGTTCTATTAACTGGCACTACAATCATCAAAGCGCAGCTAATAAACCGCCAACAATGTGCAACCAGTTTTCTTTGTTATTGTCAATCAATAGAAAATGGCCAGAAAATTGCATTATCAAAGTCAATTGGTCGTGACATTATTCTACCAGCGGCAGGTTGCTAATGGAAAGGAAATGGCAATGCTGAGAAATTTTATTTACACTTTAATCAACACTAGACTATTCAATTGTTGAATTTAATGCTAAACGAAACTGTTGAGGTGGAACAAAAAATGATAACGATATTTTATCGCTGGATAATTAAATAACATGTTTTTACGCTGCACTTGTTTCAGTTTTAATGTTGCCTCACCTGAGACCTGCTGGGACAAAGCAACTGTACACACACACACACACACATGCACGCACACTTTTAACAATTGCGATGAAAAAAACATTTTAATTAATTGCATTGTGCGGCGCTGCACAGCGCAATTTACATGCCTAGGCCACACGTATAAATATTTCAATGGCTTTAATTAACCAAAAATGTAGCAATTAATTGACTTTGGCGCTCAATTTAATTAATTTTATATGTTTTTGCACAAGGGCGTAAGGTAAAACCGTTTAGCAGCAGAGGCGCCTAAATTAGGTATTTCGTTCTTAACTGATGTCAGCATATTAATCAAATTGTGTGAAAATAACCAACATCGACCTTGTTTCGAAGTGTTTATTAATTGCTGTTATATGTGGATAATCAGTTTACTGGTTCAAATGTCAAGCCAAATGAGCCAGCGCACATATGTACATATGTCGTTTGGCAACACTAATTGTGAAGAAGAAGCATTGCTGGCGTTTATTTTGAAGGAGGATAACTCCATATAGCTAACATGCTCTCTATATGTACATATTTGATTTGCAAACTCAGTAGCACCTCAGACCCCAGCGCGTGTCCTGAAAGGTCACAGGGAACGCAAGCTGCGCTTTGTGTAATGCTTGAAGAAGTGTCAGCCAAAGTGAGATCCTTGTTTGCACATTTTTAATTGTACTGGCGACAGGTGCAAGAGCAAAGGCCCTGCTGCTCACTTGACCCACAAAGGCGGACGGGCGAGTACGAGGTTTGGGGCCGAGATTGCGACTGCGACACACAAAAAATAAGCGAGCGTTTTCTTGCAGCGGCTGCAAAAGCAAACAAGCTGCCAACGCGGCATTGCAAAAAGGAAACAAACCAAGGACATTACGAGTTAATGTAAACAACTTAATTAAAAAATAAAACTCCGTTGCGCGTCACGTGCTTAAAACCGCATGCATTTTGCTGCATAACCTCAAAGTGCAGCCAGGTGTGTGTGCCTGCCTGCATGTGTGTGTGTGTGTGTGTGTGTGTGTGGACGAAAGTGTTTTAATTTAATTTTTCGTCCTTTTGCACCCCTCTGCCGCTTCACCCTCTTTCACTTTGCCACAGCTCCTAATTAAAAATGAAAGTAATTTTTCATCAAGCAAACGCTCCTGCAAGTATAAATTATTCTTAACCAGACGAGTGCTCATTAAAAATAATTCTTAAACGCTTTTTTTTGCATTTTAAAATATGAAATGCATAGTGATGCGTGTGTGCGTGCGGGTGTGTACATTTTTTAAAATTTATTTTTGGCCAAAGTGCAGTAAAAAAAATTGTAAATTATTTGTTTCAACAATAACTCTTCAAAGTCCCGCTAAGTCCTCGGTCCCGTCATCAGCTGCTCTTAAGTGTTTATTTTTTTTTTCTTCTTTGTTCGTTCAAGTCAAACTTTTCTTTTAAATATTTACCATACTTACCCCATGTGCTGCAAAAGTTTTATGCACACGCATAATGTTGTTCGAGAAGGTAGAAGGGAGTGTAAGTTCCATGAAGTATGCTTCATACATATGCAAGTGACTCACACTGAAAAGGTGGTGGCAACATCAATGCGGCAAGCGGCAAGTAATTATAAAGTTTGATTGCTGCAACTTTGCTTTTAGACTAGAAAATATGATCTTAAGAAATCGTTAATTGTCAGACAATTGAATAGTTTTCAATTTAATTCTATATTTTCTTGTTATCAAAAATAAATTACAAAAAAAGATTCTTTCAAATGGACAACGGACGACTTGGCAAGCCACGAAACAACTTGCATGCAGATTTATGCAGTAACACCTTGCGCCAAGTCAACTTCCTCTTGGCAAATTTGGCATGCATTGCATTTCTCTAAATTGGAATAGCAATTTTTTTTAGCTTCTAACATTCAAATTTGCTTATATCAATTCAAATTAAGTTGAGTGGCATGCGTTTTGTGCATTTTTGCCTTGCTTGCCTTTTAAGTCTTAAGAAATTAATTTTGCCAATTTCAACAAAAGCAAAAGCAAATTCTATTGTTTGCAATAAAGTGCATGTCGGCTTTGTTAATCCTACCTGCTACACACATGTATATCCATGTTAGTGTATATACAATATTATTTTGCTAGCTCTTTAATAAAGCAAATTCCTTTTCGGATTAGTTGTGCTTAATTCTTGAATGTTTTTCAGGTTCGGCTTCTGTTTCTTTGCAATTTGGGATTTTCTTGCCAAACAAATAGCAATTGTAAAAGCATAATTATGGGATTAATTGAGTTTTATGTTATGAACCCGAGAAATGCAATTAAATTTATTAATCGTGCTTAGAAAAGGAGAGTTGGGGCTGAGTTTAAAGTTGAGCTCAAAATTCAGACAACAAAAATTTTGGGCAAAGTCAGAAAGCTCTTTGACTAACACACCTTGATGATGAGTAGCCCCAGCTTGTAGGACACACACACACAGAGACAAACACGTACCCATTCCTGTGCCTGACAGTCTGGACACCCAGCACTTTGCGCTTCAATAGCGCTATGCAAAGCAACGAATGTCTATTTAATAGTGTCTGCCATTGTCGATTCGACAGCATCAACTGCAAGCTGGGCATAACTGGGCCCAGTCCCAAGCTACAGGTCACATCCTCCACCACCACAGTTGGAGCCAGAGCTGACAGCGCTGTCTGCGGTGTGGCGACCACACCTGCAATTTGAGCTGTATGAGGACCGCAACGAGTGCGGGCGTTGGCAGCATTGCAGCTTGCAAAATGAAGTCATAAAGTCGGATCCCGCCCACTCATGCTCATTACCACGTACCAAGGAGTCGCATGGCAACGATAATGATGATGATGAGCATGATGCTGCTAACTATTGGACAGCAGGTCGGTCGCCTTCGCTTGGCAGTTGCCAGCGCTCATTTATTTTCCCGCAGCTGCTAAACTTTTTGACCATAGCTGACACTTTCATGAAACAATTTAAAAAGTCATTGTCATCAGCAGGCAGGCGCTTGCTACCAAGTAGCAAGCTGCAAGTGTCCTGTCAATGGCGTCGTTTGTTTTGTTGCCCATTACAGCGGTCAGTGTCCGAGTCCGAGTCGGGAGTCTGGTTGCAAAATGAAATTGTCATTGCTGAAAATGACCAACTGTCGCTGTTAACGCAGCTCGCTCGCAACTGCAGCAACCCGCACATCAAATTGTTTGCTTGGACTACGTATTGAAAGGCGAATAAGCCGCGGTGAACTGTATCATCAACCTTCCACGGGATACTTCAACTTTTCAAACGCGTTGAAGATATTTAAAAAAAAAAGAAGGGAATTCCCCTCTGAAATAATAAACCAAACTAAATAATTATATCGACATTATCAGGTTGCAGCTATCTCAAGATACTTCCTGTTCAATCATTAGCAGATTTAATTATCGACTCAAGTATTGCAAACACCTTATACCCCTTTCAAAGCCTTAGTTTGCTAAGAATTGCAATTTGAATTTATCTCTAGCATTATTTGATAATGTGGTGTCACAATATTTAACTTGAATATGAATCAAATTATTTAATATCTGTCTTTATATTTTTTTTTTACCAATTATATACTGATAACTTGTTTTTTTCATAAATAAGTTGGTTGAATTCTTTGAAGCGTCTCATCGTCTCATACGCGCGTTTCGAAAGTTTCCGGACACAAGTTAACCTTAAGCACTAAAATTATTCAGATATTCAACGTGTTTAAGCTTTGGCCCAACTCAAATTTGCCATAGGATATAGAAAGTTCGTCAAACCGATAGATATCTTTTCAGTTATGTCAAGTTTTGTTTTTCACCATGAAACTTTCAAGCTGATGCGAGTCCTTTATTGTTGTTGTTGGGCTGTTGTGGGCGTCCTGGGTAGCGTGTGACATTGCAATTTCGAAAACAATTTCAAGTTTTTCGACACGCCCAACTTGTTGTCGCCGCGTCGTCCTTCTTTTGTGGCCAAGTGCTTTTCAGTTTAAAAACTTGACAGCAAATGATGTATGATATGAGAGCGTGTAGATTGCAGTTTAGCTAAGATGTCTTGGAGAGCTGCTTTTGTGCGAAAGGAAAACCATAAAAAACCTATTTAAAACATTTTTGACTACGCACAATAGATTCTTAGGTGCAATGCTAACCAGCGTTTGACTTTACCCGCAGGATAATTTAGATGGTTATCATCCAATACGCACAGACATCCAGTTTATAGACTTTCAATGTCTTTTCAGTGTTCATTAAAGTTGCTACGCTGCTTCAATTCATTATTACTTGGGTGTAGGGGACATGTACTGCATTCCAACTGCCTGCTGGGGTAAATGGCTCTGTGCAAAGCCACAAAATTTATTAAGCGTAAAATTAAAAGCATAAAATTGCATGCTTTAAATTCAAATGCAGCGAAGCAGTAGCAGTAGCATCAGCAAAAGCGACAGCAACCGCAGCCACAAAGTGTCGGAAGGAAGCATATCGCACAAAGTTCAAACAAAGCAGCTCGTAGTATCAAGAAGTGGTCGAACTTGCACACTCTTCCATCGCCTCCCGCAATCCCCACGCATACTAAATTCAACTTATCGACAGGCTGGCAGTGCAACGTGTTCCGATAAGCGCCACAGCATGAAGTTGACTGCGCTGTGGCACCGTCCAATTTTTATTTTACTATTTCCTTGCAGCAGCTGAAATAACTTGCACCAGGTGATATGTAAGATACGGCAAGATATATTGCCGCCTGATAGTCAAGAAAACTTATTGCCTTTAGGCCGAGATGAGTTTTTGTAGTGAAATCTCAGCTATTTATATAATTGTCAAAAATTTATTACTCATAAAAGGAAAATCTGCAGCTCTGAGTGGCTGACTTGCTTAGGTGAACCATTGAGGCAACTGAGCAACGAGAATCAGGCTTCGATTGCCAGGCTAGTGTATGGCTGTTGTAATGTATTGACCAGTGTTTTATGTTGTTTTGATAGTTTATAACTATGAGTGTATACTATAGTTACGATAGCTTGAAATTTCTATTAATTTTGTTGCTATGGACAAAACGCAGTCGGAAACAGCGACTCACCAAAATCGGAACCAAATCAAATTGTTATCAAAATAAAAATATTTTGAGGTAAATTCAGCGTCAAAGCGAATAGAAAAAAATAAAACAACATAATTTTTTTGGGTTTGCGGTCAAGCTTTAAAATTATAAAAATATTGTCGAGGGTTAATTTTTGATCGATGAAGCTACAACATTTGAGACAAAACCACATAAATTTAGTCCATAGATTTTTCTAAAATCATCGTATTTTCACCAGATAGTACTTAGCGTCAATAGAAGCCCACTTGCAATTGTCCACTCTTGTAGCTGGCTTCAACTACCACTGTTGTCCATGGCCATCACTCAAGTTCATGGAATCTCTCTCTGTCGTCCCTTCCTTCTGGTGCAATATACATTAGATATTCATGAACTACGTCGCGTGCTCATCAACAGGACAACATAGTTGGCCAGAGGTGGATGCCTGGGCTAAGTGAAGCAACACATCTTGCACTTTAGTTTCTTTCCTTTAGTTCTCCCTCTCTTACACGACTTTGCTGTTTACTCGACTGGCGCCACCTGGCGTTTTTAGCACGGCATAATGCTCATTATCGTCTTCGAGCTTCTAGGCAAATAGGAATTTACTAAGAAATATATACTAGTATGTTTTTTTTTTTTGTTAGCACACGTCATGTTTGAATTTATGTCATAGTTGTGTTTTGAGGTAGCGGATCAACAGATTTAAGGGCTTCACTGACGCCACTGCCAACATGGAAGTCAGGATGAAAATTAAGCAGATCCAAGTTTACTACTTTATATGTGGATATCAGCCAGTGGCCGGCACGCACAGTGGGTGGTATCGAATAATCTCTTCGGAAGCGTACAAATACCTCGGCAAATACAATGGGATGTCGGACAAATAATTTACTAGCGTCTGCATGCTGCTCAACCAGCCTATTCATCTGTTCCACTTCTACTTTGGATGTAAAGTCATTGGTGCGTCGGCACGCCAAGAATATCATGTCTATAAAGGCAAACTTATGATCATAGTGCTCCAATCGCTGTACCCGTAGGGGGATTGCGCGCCGAATATGACGTTTCTCAAAACGCATCAGCTCGTGTGGTAAATTTCCGGACTGGTGTTTCTTTTCCCTGAGGAGATCATAGCTGATTTGCTTGTATCCCATTGGCGTGGAGCAACGTTTGATGTAGGAATTGCGCTTCTCGACTATGAACCTGGTAACGAGCACTAGCGCCTGTTTGGCATTGTCAACAAAGAATGCTTCGTTAAAATCCCAATCCCATAGTATTTTTAGCTTCCATAGATTAAACTTGGTGCTCATCATTTTCCAGGGACTGTATAGATATACCATCAGAGGTAACGACATTTGTCGATCTTTCACCGCATCCTTAGAACGTTCTACATCCAAATTAAAATTCCATTTGCCCCTATTACGGACTGTGTTCCTAGACGAGCCGGGAACCTTATGTCGCGCTTGGCGAGATTTTATTCCTAGCATGCCCATTTTCGACAGTGAATTGGCCCTTCTAGCCAATATTCCATGCAGCTGAAAGGATTTGTGAGCCAGTGTCAGCCGGGCACAGCCAAATTTCAGTGGGGGCTTAACCGACATGTTTCCATAATTTAATTTTTAGTCAAAATTTTTAAATACTTATATATACGAAATGTTAAGGTCAAATCTGTTATTCTGACTGAGAAATCTTTCCTGAAAACCATTGACATATTCGAATAATGGTTGTACGCTGACTCATTTTATTTTCCTGTTCTTTAATAGGACTTAAGAAATTGTTTCATAATACATTTATATATCTGCATTTGTTATTATACCTATTATTGGATACCTAACAAATATTCCAACTTAATCACTGCAAATGCATAATCACGTTTTCAAGCCTTTTCGTATTGTGTGCTTTGTCGAATTGGCTTTTGTTAGAGTACACGCATGCATTCATACGATTTAACAACAATGAGCTCTAATTGTGGCAACATGAATATAATCGATTCACCTGCTCTGAGGCCCGGCTGATTGATGCTGCCTCGTGGGAGATCCCGAAGGACTTTTGTGAGCATTGATTCGTATGCAGCCTGGCAACGTGCAATTATCGAATGCATTAGCAAATGGAAAACATTTGTTACGCCCATTGGCCCACCGCCCCATTTAGGTTGCGCCTGTTTTCATAGTTGCATTTCATGTGCTACATAAACACATCACCCATCCTCCTTCACAACTCCTCCTGTTTCTATGGTGTGTGGGTGTTTGTGTGCGTGTGTGCCCACTTGAGCTCTGCTAACTGAATACAAACAATGCCAAACGAGAGACAGACAGACACGCCCACTTGCCACCGCCCGAAGACATGTTTACAAACTTATTTCATTTGGGTTAATTGCTTCGCAATTGCCCTCAAATTTGCATTCGACCTAAGTAATTTTGTCCTAATGTCGATTTCAATTATTGCACAACTTTCTATAGAATGTCCTCAGAAGATATACGATTATATAAACACAAGGATGCACATGAATTGTACATGTGTCTTTGGATGATGTAGTTCCCAGCAAAGTTAATAAAGCGGAATAACGGATACACAATAGAAGTCAAATTGCTATGGGGAAACATAAAACATTTGTCTATATGCGGACCATGTTTTCTTGTCGATGCACTGAAATTTTCAAGAAATCGCCCTCCTATGCGATTCTCAATAATTCATGTAGAGCCTACAAATGTTCATGCCCTTATAAATTTTATATTAACATATTAAACAATTCTTTATATGTATTTAATTCAAAATTGTTGGATTAGAGAATATAATCATTATTTCGTACTATAGTTAAGAAAATTGAACCTGCATTGTGGATTTTCTTCAGTGTAGTGTTCTGTTGTTAGCGATTTACTGGCCATAAATGTTTACTGTCATGTTTAAATCTAATAAAATTCATCACATAAATTGCGAACAATAAAACTATGCCCAAATATACTTTAAGAAACATACACATACATAAATGCATAAGGAGAAGAAATCCAATGCAGCTCATGCTCCAAAAAATGAAAATATTTTGCTGAAATCACAGCGCCATACAAATCCCCATGTAATCTCCCTCAGAGAGAGAGAGAGTGAGAGACAGCCATCATAGAGCAGCCAAAAGTATCGCAATAAAATATGTTAAGTAAATACGAAAAAGCAGATGGGGACAAAGAGGACGAAGGAGACAGACGGACGATAGACAGGCAGTTAGAGAGAGAGTAAACAATAAGCCAAAAAGTACGCTTGATTAAGTTTAACTTCCGGTTTTGGTATAAATTGAGCATTTATGTGGGATTTGTTTGCGAAAACAGTTTCTACTTTGTTGGACAAAATAAATGTTTGCCAGTAGGCGCCGGCGCTAGCGCTGGCCCATCGAGCAGCTGCCAAAACCGAGGCATATGAGCACACGCTTGCATGTCTATTTCCGGCGGATGTGGTGAATAAAACATGAAACAAAATAAAATCAGAAGGCAACAACAGAGCCTGCCAGATGCTGACTTACTAAAATGGACGAGTTGGAGTATTTGGAAGGCGCAAAATTATTCAGTGACCAAAAATGAACTTCCGTTTGCTTTGGTTGCCGTTAGATTAGTTGCTCTGCAGCATCAAATATCAAAATTAATCCAAGAGTTCAATAGAAGTAGACAACAAATTAAATTGCAAAATATCTTTAGCCTGCATATTTGTAATACATACATTTTTTGCATCCTCTCGGGGCTGCTCTGACAGCTGCCAACTGGGCATGGCCATGATGCAAGGCATTTAATATCCGTAAATGAAATATTCAATTTCCCTATGACAAAACTAGGAAATAGGCAACAGACAACAGGCGCACCTGGTGCCTGCCACAAGATATGAAAACTAGATACAGTTAACAGCATTTTAGGGCCGCAAACAGAAACAACCATTGCTTATCTATTGACAACGGCCACTTAACAGCAGCCCACCTCTAAATATAGTCAAGAAATTGCCCAGTTTCCCAAACCACAAATGCTTTTGCGGAGATTGCAACTATCGATATTGGTTTTGTTCAGAAAGAAAATATTTATCAGCGGGGTCGCCAAACTATGATATATACACTTAAGACACTTAAATACTAAGACTAGCCTCTAAAATTCATGCTCGTCGGCCTAATTCTTGATTATGTATAATTAATAATAATCATCCATTAAGCGACAGAAGGCAATTATTTCGGATACCTCTCGGCGTTCTTTCAGACAAACTATTTCAATTCGAATGCAACGATTCATTGGATAAATAATAATCTTGGCGTAAACAAATAGCAAGCTCACTTGGCACAACATTGCAAAATCCATGTAATCTTTATTGCCTGGCCAAAAGCTGTTGGCCACACTCAACAAATAGACGAGCAAAGCACTTGGATTTGGTCGAAACAGGGGCAATGTTTACGCAGCCGGTTAAACTTTGGAGGGCCCAACATTACTTTCAAATGCTGCTGGAATCGCATTTAATTTGGAAAGTGCATCGAAGTTTATGGCTTTGCTAATCGCTAGTGAATATTAACTATCTGGTTGCCCGCAAATTATCTCAAATAGATTCCCTTTGCTAGCATTTCAACAATTAATCCTGAATAGAATAAGGCTCTCAGCCACACAATTGGCAATTGTTGTTGGGCATTATATTTATTAGTTTGTGTGTGCTTAGGCTATTTAAATACGGACTATAGTTAATGCTTGGAATTCAGAGAAGTCTTCAATGATTTCGAGAATGGCAGCAGTTCGATGGGGCACCACAGTTGCGAGAACAGCAGGCTCCATTGCATTTCGGTCTTACTGGATAGTTCATGCAGTTATTGCAAACATGCATACAGCAAATTGGATAGTAACAGGGGCATCGGCAGCCACAGGAATTAGAGCACCTACAGCAATTGTTACATTTATTGGGGGTTGGTTTTATTAATTTCGGTTTTGGTTTCTCTTCTGGTTCCTCTTCTGGTTCCTCTTCTGGTTCCTCTTCTGGCTCCTCATTTGGTTCCTCTTTATGGATGATCTCAGTCTCAGATTCAGATTCAACCTTATACACCGTTTGTAATACATTCCCCGCCTCATCGTTGGTAACCTCCTTAATTTCTGTATAAACACGCGTTTTTATTACTGCTGGGGCAGGATCAGCTGTATCATTCTGTTGAGCTTCAGCCATATCTTTAGAGTTTCTTTGGCTGCTGCTTTTTGAAGATCTTTGTTGGTCTTCTACATTATTGCTTGCAGTCCCAGCAGCAAGGTCATTGGGAATATCGGTAGGCTCGCTTTTTCGAGGTGAATTTACTGAAGTTCTCTTGATCTCTTTGTCAATTTTTGAATTCTCATCGGAAACAACTTGGGATTCGACATTCACGATTAAGGTATTGTTGCTAGACGCGATATTTTCAGCCGTATTAGGTGCAGTCCCCTGTTTAGATACATCGGTTCTAGGACTGCCAGTTTGAGATCGACTCAGCTCGGCTTTTGTTTGTGAATTACTCGAAGATCTCTTGCTCTCTGTACCGACTCTTGCATTCTCATCGGAAGCAACATTGGCTTGTTGTGAATTTCTTGAAGATCTCTTGCTCTCCGTACTGGCTCTTGGACTCTCATTGGAAGCAACAGTGGTCTGTTGTGAATTTCTTGAAGCTCTCTTGCTCTCCGTACTGGCTCTTGGACTCTCATTGGAAGCAACAGTGGTCTGTTGTGAATTTCTTGAAGCTCTCTTGCTCTCCGAACTGACTCGTCTTGAATTCTCATCGGAAGCAACATGGGACTCGACTTTTGGAGGGGATCTATCTGACGAACGCCTTTTTGTTCCTTCGGTTAACGAAGTGTAACTTGATTCCATATTTGCAGCTATATTTTCTGCAGTCCCCCTCTTAGATTGTTCAGTTAGTGGATCATTATTGGAAGTCCGACCGGACGCAATAGGAGTAGGTGCATTTTCTGAAGACCTCTTCCTCGACTGATTGGTAGCTGAAATGTCAGTGCCTTCTAGAGGTGAATTTCCTGAAGTTTTTCTTTCTTTTCGATAGTTAGTCAAAGGATCATTGTTACCTTTAGCGGGCTCTAGATGTAGAGCCTTCCTCACTAATTGTTTGATAGATATGTTTTTACTGGAATTGACGTGGGCAGTGTCTCTTGCCGAATTTCTACTCTTCGCTGGGCCTAGATTCGATCGATCATTGCAAACTGGACCGGCTCTGACATTTGATGATATTTTTCGCTGAGCCCTTTTGTGTTGGTCACCTGTCAAACATGCATACGATGGCGGTACCAATGGAGTGATTGTTTCGAGTACTTCTACTTGACTGGACTGTATACTCTTACGTTTAGTTGGAGGCCTTCGACAACATTTAAACTTCGGCATTATATTATCTTTTACTGAAAACTTATTTTGAGCCGCAATGATAGAACTCTCAATTTTTCCCCCTCCACTTCTGTGTATATTTTTATTGAGATTTCTAAGTATTATAGATCTCACACTATCTATAGATTTTCCGGGTCTTATGTTTGAGCCGCCTTTTCGTGCTTCAACTGTTTTTTGAACAACTGGGCCTGTCAGCGAAACTTTTGGTTTTCTTTCTGTATCTCCAAATGTTGTTAGCGTAGCATTACGATTTCTTTTAGTTATTTCCCTACCAGGCTCTCTAAATGTGGTTTCAGATTCTGATTTTTTTAATAAGCTATCAGCAGTAGTTTGTTTAGTATATTTTGCCCTTACTTGCGCGTTCTCCGATGAACCATAATTTTTGTTTGTGGACTCCATTTTTTCTGCCGATTTGTTGAAGCTCGGATTTGGTTCATAAAGGGTTATCAGTTCTTTACTTATTTGTTTACCAGTACCATCAAATTTGGTAATTGATTCCGTTTTTTGCAAGTCTTTATTTTCATTATTTTTAGAGCTTATAAATTTGGTAAGCGATTCTGTTTTTGTGACTATCACTTCTTTCTCACCAGTTTCCTTGGTGACCTCGTATTCAACCACCTCGATGTTTTGAATATTATGTATTAGGTCGTCTGGAAATTGTGTCGTCTTATCTTTGGATATTATATCGCTGGTCTGACTGCTATTTCCTCGCATCATTGGCCATTTCTTTTTCTTTTTTATACAGGGGCTGGTCACTCGTATGCATTTATTTTTCACGACATCAGTATATATAAATGGATTGGATCCAATTAATTTCTTAGCCCGTTCATTTGTATTATAACTCAAGGGGCTACATACTTTAGTAAACCCACCACCGCGTTTGCAGTTACCGCACCTTCGAACCTCTAATGTTTCCCTTGCTTGCGACATTTTGATGTTACACTGGACAAATAAAACAACAATTTCGGTGGCTTAAACAAACATTTTTCACTACAATTCACACATAAAATTTGGTACCCAACAAACATATCAATTTTATAAACCTATCAGAAACAAATGTTATTGAATGAAATGTAAATCTAAGAAAACACAAGCAAGTCAGCGTGCTCGAGTCGGAAGTAACCGACTAGGAGACACCCTAAAAGCAGCGACTGTCAGCCGTTACGAACATTCTCGCTTTCTTCTATACGGGATATAGATATAGATGATTTGAAACATTTGCGCGGGCTATATTCATGTAACTAGCTTTTATTTTACACTGAGATCAATGCACAAGATGTTTTATTTGATGCAAGATGCCTTCCTCTGCCTGTAACATAAATTATACTCTTTTTGCTCAGTTTCAATGGGTTTTGAGTGAGGATATATTCAACAGAAATATTTGCTTTTCTTTTCAGTTCATCAATTCAGATCAGTTCGGTTTAGATATTGTAATATTGTAAATGATTTGTCGGAAGAAGGATTGTTGAAAATTGTGCGTTTGCCAAATTATATGTATAAGTTTTGTGCGAAATGGGACTGCGTGATTTTCAAAAGAAATTGGATCAATTTCAAAAGGCAGTCGATGTACCCAAATGGTATTTGGGCTTATCGGACTACCAGGAGGATACCATCAAGGAGTTGTGCAACGATCTGCGTGATGACTTCGAGCAGGGCACAAGTTTTCGCGTGGAAAAGAGCTTAACGCGCCTGGGCCTCAGCCCACTGATTAGCAAGAAGAAGATTCGAACTATGGTACAGCTAAGTCGCGGTAACGATTTGGCTTTCATTTTCTTTATACTCGAGGGCTACTATATAAGCTGTCGCAAAAATGGCGAATACACGACCAACGAAAAGTTGCTGATGATAGCAATGGCAAAAATAGATTTATTGCCAACACTGCAGGAATTAGATCGTATACTGCCACCACCACAGCTAAGTGAATTGGATCTGAAGCGTCAGCGGCGCAGCTATGGTCAACAACAGCGGACTTCAAAATTCCCGCTAGAGCAGCAGACGAGGAAGAAAAAATCGAAATCGACACAATTTCCATACTTTCAACGTCAGCCCAGGCCCAAGGAAATTGTGGTTAAATACACTAGTAAACCACCCAATGTGATATCTAACTTTCCATTCTGGCCATTGGATCAGCCTCCAAATTATGGTATTAAAAGCGACCCACCATGGTTCGCCGAATACAATTTAAATCCAGTTGGTCGCCTGGTCAAAAGTACTGTAGCTGAAGCGGTCGACAAATACTTCCATCATCTGAATCATATTAAATATTTAGAATCGCGAGCTAGGTTTAGCCGTAGAGCGGCCGCCGCATTAGAGAAAGCCATGGATGACGACGACACTGAGCCACTTATGTGCGCCTATCATAAGTTCGCAATTGGAGAAGCGCAGCTGATCAAAGACGAGCTGGTGGTGATGGCACGGGATCGTTGCATAGAATTGATGGATGTGACGCTGCCCTATCGTAAGCTGCGACAAAAGCGTATTGTAGCTCAGCTGGAGCGTGATATTGACGATTGCATTAAACGATATTCCATGAAAATGGAAAGCACAACGGTGCACACGATATCCAAGTCCGATTGCGTACTGTGCCAGGAGCAACGCGTTGATTTTCCTGTGGCCAAGCCCCAGGAGAGAAAAGGTCGAGCTTTAGTCGGAGACAACCTACATCTAGCTCATACTCAAGCGACTGACACCTGTATTGGTGCTCGTCTCTGTGGCGGTGGTCTGCGTCGTGAGCCAATCGACTTTGAGGTCGAGCTGCCACCGTGTCGCAGCTCGAATGCAGGCACATCTATGCTGTCTGACGCGTCGTCTTGTGTGACACCAAAAGGTAAGAGCCAGCAACGCATATCCTTTCTGCTGGATGACAGCAAATTGAAGAAACTTCGAAAAAATCGGAAAGACCAAACTGTGGAAGTGCGCTATCAGGGCAAACAGACAAAGAAGACGTTCTTTACGGCGCCCAGCGATCACAAACCCTATCAATTTAAGTACAAACGCATCTTTAAGTCCGGTCAAGAGAAGCCACGTGATGTCAAAAAGGTGATTGCCAAAGCGTTTGTGAGTGCACTAGATAGAGGCGATGGAACACCTATTCCTCTGTGCGAAAAACCAGCCGAAAACACATCCGAAGACGATGTGGAAAAGCTGGAAATGGAAGTTAGCGGCATTCGTTTGACAGATAGCTGTGCATCCACAGATGATACCAGCGAGCACAGCAAACGCAGCTATGAGGATCGCCGGGCGGACATCGTAGACGCTGTGGTGCGTTGTGCCAAAGAAATCTGGATGAAGGGTGTCAATGCAAAACGAGCCGAGATGGAAATGCAGGAAAGCGAAGCCAAGGCAAAAGAGAATCCAATGCAATCATCAATACTAACATATGATATTGAAAAATTTGATCCGGATAATGCACAGCTCATGAATCGCATGCTGCAAGATGGCCTGGCACAGCTGCGCAAAAATCAACGATTCGTGCTTGCCTCCCTGCCCGACGCTTACAAGCTGCCCGTGCTCCAGGCATGGATAAGGCGTCGCTATGGCAAACAATATAACGAAGAAGAGGCGCAAAAGAGTATTCAACAATCGATCAAAGTATTCGAAACGATCACCCTGCTACAGGGTATGCCGCCACCGGCTGACTTGATGGGCATGGATCACATGCCGCAAAGCAAAGAGAATTTTGCCTACTGCAAGCAGGCCAAGGCCCTGGTAAGTAATGCCAGTCAAAAGACTGCTTAAGGCAACAATTTGCTCATATCCTTATTCGCCTGCAGGCCGCAAAGGTGCGACAGGAGTACTATAAAAAACTGAACGATATTTATATGAATCACACAATCGCCTGCTGGTATGCCATGGGCAATTATATGTGTCGCGCCGGACCACCGAGAAAAACATTCTACGCCTATATGTCGGCCAATACCCGGGACATTATGCGCAATAAAGTGTGGAACGGCGAATACAGGGATATACGACAATTTCGCGATAATTATAAGGAAACCCATAAGAAATAGTTAAGCAAATTATGGCTGCCGCTTTTCTACAATTTTTTTTCTTTTAGGTTTGATTTATGTTAAGAGTGACAAAAAGACAAACATATAACTAGCGAATATACGACGTTTTGCTTTAATTAAATATATTTATAGTATAAATATTATTGATAGCTCTTCTTTAAACGAGACACCCGCTTGCCAGTTATGCCCTTGCTGGCCATGTACGCTAAAATGGCGCGCTTTGTGAGCGTCTTGAGGTTGCGGACATCGAACTCTAGCTCCTTGTTGGCATACCCAAAATTAATGCCTTCCATTTGGGTTATCATGTGTATAACGTTTAGCAGCATGACGCCATCCAGTTGCTGTACCCTTATGTGCAGCTCCAAATCCTCTTCGGTGGTCATTGGCAGCTCGTGCTCCTCCTTCTTCCATTCCTTGTACGCCAAGTCTTCGTTGCGAACTTGTGTGTTATCGGGCACAACTGTAACGCTGCTCTCTTTGGATTGACTTGGTGAACTGGTACATCCATAAGCTTCCTTAATGTCCAGATCTGAGGAGGAAGAGTCTGACCAATTGCAGCTCTCGTTGGAGTTATCGTGCAGCGGCACCTTCGCGTACATATCCTCAAATACCAATTGCAAATTCTTTGCCATTTCATAACAAAGATGACCCGGTCCTGTATATATATATGTATTATAAAATATAAGGCGCACATCACGTGCAAAATCAACGGCATTTAAATAAAAATTCGAATTGAGACGATATTTGATTGTCGACAGATCCATCGGTTCCTTCACAATGAGATGATAATCATAAAGACCCAGTAAATCGGCGTCTAACGGCTCGTAAAATACCCAGGCCAAACTTTTGTACTTCTTGGAGAAAAGATTTCTTATGATTGCCTTACAGGCGCTAATCTCCGGCGTTGGCTTACCTCGTTTAGTTGTTGCCATCATGCTGCACGAGGTAGAAATTAAAGATCCGAGAATTGCAGTCGCTTGATTTTCATAAATACCTTTTCAAATTCAGCAATTCAATTGTTATTAGTTGAAAGCAATAAAAAGCACTAGAAATCTAATTTTTGACAATTGGATTATTTGAAATGAAACTCGCTCAGAGTTGAATTTGCGTGCATGAACTAGTTTAGTTGAGCGAACTTGTAAAATAAATAAACAATTTAAAAGCTGCGCTTTGTGTTTTTATTCAAATCGCAAATACATGTATGTATGTGTGTATATAAGTGTATGTATAAAATATCAATTATCCACATATATTCGCTTATATGGCCGGTGGCACAGTGAAGATATTGAATCTGCATATTTTGTAGACAGATACCAGCCAACGATTTGTATGATTCGCCAATTCTACACCAGAAATTTGCTCGGCATTGGAATAGTTACGTCTGAAACGCATAAAAAGCTCTATGAAAACATACGGTAACTGTGAACTGGGATCCTCTAGCTGCAACTTAAGATCCGGCTCCATATCGATCAGTGCACTTTTCATCTTCTCAAGATCCGAACTCGTTTCGCAGTCGGCCACATGACGCAGTCCCACCAAGACCACATCAATGACTGCATACCTCAAGCCCAATATAGTATGAAGATGCACATTAATGGGCACCGCTTGTCGTATATCCTGTTTGCGAAAACGCAACAGTTCCGCAAAAGACTTGTGTGGAAAGTTAACCGACTCGTTGGCCATCTGGTAATACACATTGGATGTGGAAAAGTGATCGATATTTTCCGTGTCGCGTAAACGTAGAATATCTGTTAACGCAACGGCTGCCTTCTTTGTCTCATCCACAAAGTCCTTCTCTTTAAAATTGGGATCCCATGTCCATCTCAGCTTCCACATACGCAATTTACTCATGTAGTACTTCAGCGGATTGTACTTGAAGACGAGCTGTGGCACAAGCACATTGTTCATCACCTTCACTTTGGTGGCCTCCGGCTTGGGGGGCAATATGAAATGTCGCTGTTGCTGGCAAATATGAAGCTGTTCCGGTGTAGCGGCAACGTTCCACACAACTCCAGACCATTTACGTAACAATTTCGTGCACATTTTGTCCGCAATTTTAACTTTCAATTTGTGTCTAATAACCAAATTTTATAATGTCAAAGTAAAAGCCAGGCCTACTATGTTAAATGGGGGCTAACCCAGTCTTTACACTACAATTTATTTACGCTCTAACAAAATATAAAAAGAAAACTAAAATTTGTTGTACATACACATTCACACTGCCTCGCCGTCTACTCTTCCTGCTTGCGAGTCAGTCCGTTCTTTTCAGGCTCATAGAACTCATTCACAATGGCTTCAACCATTCGTTTGAGTGTTGCTGTCAGTTCATCCCAATTCTTATTCTCCGGTTCGCCACAAATTTCAGCGTAGTACTTAATCTTGGGCTCAGTTCCGCTAGTACGCAATGTGACAACCATACCATTTTTAAAAGTAAACGTTATCATCTGGGTGCTTTCGCTGACTGGTAGCGTAGCCTTTTTATCAGGTGTGCTGCTATCATAGCCCGTGGTCAGGTCACGTACATTTTCAATTTCATATTCGCCGTTTAGGATGCTTTTCGGATAGGTATTCTTTTGACCATTGTCAAAGGTGCGCAGGCGATCAAAAATCGTCTTAATAAGCTTTTGATCATGGCAAATTAGATAGGAGACTACATTTGTGTGAAATCCGTAAGTCTCGTATATTTCACGTAATTTATCCTGCAATTTCATACACTTTTCGTACTGCAAATAGCAGGCCATTGTGGCCACGTGTGCCGCAGCACTAATACCATCTTTATCGATCACATTTGGCGTCATCATATAGCCAATGGCCTCCTCGAACCCAAAGAGCACATTTTTGCCCGCATCTCGCTCCTCGATCGTCTTGTTGCCGATCCATTTGAAGCCTGTCAGCGTTTCATGGAAGGTGAATCCCTCGACTTTTGCCATCGATTTCAATATCTTTGAGCTAACTGTGCTGGCAATCATAACACAATTGGATACATCTGGATTTGCTTCGCGCATCTTATAGTTCTCCAATGCCCACCAGCCAAGGAGGGCGCCCAGCTCGTTGCCGTTAAATAGTTTATATCTTCTCTTGACCACCTCAGCAACAGCCAGACGATCGGCATCCGGATCGTTGGCCAAGATTATAGTACTTTTTGTGGCAGTTGCTCTTTTTATGGCCAACTCCAATGATGTTTTGCCCTCTTCTGGGTTGGGCATAGGCGTAGTTGGGAACTCTGGATCGGGCTTAACCTGATTAATCACAGGTATCACTGGCTTCAAATCAATCGTGCTAAAAGCCAACTTTATGTATGGATAGCCAACCCCATGCATGGCCGTATAGGTAAATTCTAAAGGGCATTTTTTATTGAGCTCCCGAAGCGGGCACGTTAGCTCCATCTTTAAAGAGTCGTAATAAGCGGCAACCATCTTTCTGTACGGTTTCCTCAACAGTTCGTTGTCACACAGTACACTCTCATCCCAAGAACCTGCTTCGGGTTCCAAATTATCCAGAATGGACTGACTAATTCCCGTATCGTGCGGTGGTATGATTTGTGCACCGTTTGTCCAATAAACCTGTTGACAAATATTATAATATTGGCAGATATCTTACAAGACATAAAATGACATGACATACCTTATAGCCATTATCCTGTTTGGGATTGTGCGACGCTGTTACCATTATCCCGGCCAGACAACCTAGTCTTAAAATTGTGAATGGAACGAAGGGCGTGGCAACATAGCGGGTAAAGAGATACACACGAAAATTATTATTCAAAAACACAACCGAAGACAACTTGGCAAAGCGTTTACTGTTGTGACGTGCATCATACCCAATAACAATGCCTTGCTCGGACCAGGTACTCTCATCCGGATACTGTTTCTTTAAATAAGCGCACAGTCCTTGGGCGGTTCTTAAAAGTGCAGGCATTAGTTAAACATATTTAGTTTTTATATTCCTATCAATTCTTAGAAAACTTACTGTATAACAACCAGATCGTTCATAGCATCGAAACCGGCTCGCATTGCTGCCCGTAAGCCCGCTGTGCCGAACGCAATTCGATTGCAGAGGCAAGCTTCAAGACTAATTGAATACCAGAAGAGTTAAACGAGGATTTAAAGTTATTAGCTCATAACATACGTGCTCCAGTCTTCTTTCTTGATGGCATTAATAATTTGAGCTTTGGTACGCGGATTTCGATCCCAATCGATCCAATTTTTTATTTGCTTATCAAGCACTCGATCGCCAGAATAACAATGAAAATGTTCCGTACCAGAACTTCCTATACCAATACGTTGTGGAGTCCAACACTGAAACATCAAATATCCCACGGATATGTTACCCAACAAGCCTATATTAGAGAGCTTTCTTTTCTGCTGGTACAGCTCGCGTTTATTGGGACTAACAGGAACATTTATGAACAGTCCCGACCAATTGGCAGACAAACTTAACGAAATTCTCTTGGCAAATGTGTGAATTAGTAGTACCATATTGACAAGATTAAAAGTAGATTATTTTTTATTTTTATTAAAGATTCTAACAAATACTATAGAAATTTTGATGGCTTCTACTGTCCAAAATCCCTACAAAACCTATCCTGTCTGGTGTAATATGTTGATCAACTGTATCACAAATGACCAACTGTCAAACATTTTTGACTTTCTAATCAACTTAAAAAAACACGGAACAGTTTTTAATATGAGCCGGTTCATATTAGATGTCCGCATTTTATATCTCCAACAACTTTAGTGAGTGATATCTCCAATCTTTCTATTCACCATTAAAAAAAAACTGGTCGAGGTTTACTTTCCTACAACCCCAAGAAAATCTTTATTGAATCTTAAATAACTTTTTTTTTTTTTTGGTTTTTTAATAATCAAAAATATCTGTTGCCATCAGCAGCGTTGGTAATCCGAAATTCAATTGAACTCGTAAATTTAGCAGAAAACTGAAAATTTGGGGCATCTACATATACGAAAACCCATCTATACTCCGCTTGCAAATCTAGTCTTCCTGTCTACGCTCCAGTCCGTTCTTTTCGGGCTCGTAAAACTCATTAACAATGGCATCGACCATGCGATTAAGAGTCTCTGATAACTCTTCCCAGCGCTTGTTTTCTGGCCTGCCGCACATCTCGGCATAATACTTCAGTTTTGGCTCAGTTCCGCTAGTACGCAATGTGACAACCATACCATTTTTAAAAGTAAACGTAATCATCTGGGTGCTTTCGCTGACTGGTAACGTGGCCTTTTTATCTGGTGTGCTGCTATCATAGCCCGTGGTCAAGTCACGTACATTCTCAATCTCATATTCACCGTCCATTATGCTTGTTGGATAGGTGTTCTCTTGGCCTTCGTCAAAGGTGCGTAGACGATCAAAGATCTTCTTAATAAGCGCTCTATCCCGACAAGTGACATAGGAGACGACACTGGTATGGAATCCGTAGTTTTCGTATAAGTCCCGCAGCTTCTCCTGCATTGTCATACACTTCTTGCAGCGCAAATAGCAGGCCATTGTAGCCACGTGGGCCGCAGCACTAATACCATCTTTGTCGATAACATTTGTGGATACCATATAGCCAATGGCCTCCTCGAACGCGAAGAGCACCTTCTTGCCCGCATCGCGCTCCTCGATCACCTTGTTACCGATCCATTTGAAGCCTGTCAGCGTTTCATGGAAGGTAAATCCCTCGACATCAGCCATAGATTTCAATATCTTAGAGCTGACAGTGCTGGAGACCATCACACAATTGGATACATCTGCGTTTTCGTCCTTCAATTTATAGTTCTGTAATGCCCACCATCCTAAAAGTGCCCCCAGTTCGTTGCCACTGAATATCTTGTATTGCTTAGTGTCATCAATTTCAGCGACAGCCAAACGATCGGCATCCGGATCGTTGGCCAAGATAATGGGACATTTTTTGGCAGTTGCCCGTTTTATGGCCAAATCCAATGTTGTTTTGCCCTCTTCTGGATTTGGTATGGGCGTCGTTGAGAATTCTGGATCTGGCATTATCTGTTCACACACGGGAACAACGGACTTAAGGTTAATTTTGCCGAATGCCAACTTAATGTACGGATAACCAACGCCATGCATGGCCGTATATGTAAAAGTTAATGGACATCTGCCATTGGCCTCCATTAGTGGGCAAGAAATCTCCTTTTTAAGCGCATCGTAATAAGCTGTAACAACATTATTGTAGGGATCGCTCAACAAATCGTTGGCGCACAGCAGAGTCTCATCCCAAGAATCGGGATGTGGTTGCAAATTATCCAAAATTGCCTTACTAATAGCTTCATCATGCGGTGGTATGACTTGTGCGCCATTAGACCAATACACCTGTAGGAATTATTGTAAAAATCTTGTATAAATATATGTATTTGCGAGATATACCTTATAGCCGTTATCCTGTTTAGGATTGTGAGACGCTGTTACCATCACACCGCCAAGGCAGCTTAGCCTTTGTACGGTGTAGGGCACAAAGGGCGTGGGAACAATGCGTCTGAAAAGATATACACGAAAATTTTGACTTAAGAACACAATTGCAGTTAATTCCGCAAAGCGTTGACTATTGTAACGACCATCATAGCCAACTACCACGCCCTGTTCGGCCCACGATGCCTCATCCGGATACTGTTCCTTTATATACGCACATACCCCCTGAGCAGACCTGTAATGCATGGTCAATACATAATATTTTATATTTTTCACATGCTTCATCAGCGTGATGAATATTCTTACTGTATAACGACCAATTCGTTCATAGAATCAAATCCAGCACGCATTACGGCACGTAATCCCTCTGTGCCAAAAGATATACGTCTGCAGAGACGGCATCGAAGGCTGTGTTTGTAAATTGGTTGATTGCAATATGGAATCTTATATAAGAATGTTATTTAGTATTTACGTATCCCAATCTTCATTCCTGACCGCTTCCATTATTTGCGCCAATGTGTCTTGGTTACGATCCCATTTGACCCATTTTTTAATTTGGGCGTCTAACTCTTTGTCGCCGGAGAGCGGCATATGCTTCAGCTCGCATATCGCTTGGCCCATGGATTGACACATTGTGTACAGCCGAAGAATTTAGAAAAAAGTATGGGAGCAAATTCTTAAAAGCTAGTGAATAGCACAGAAAAACTTTTGACAATAAATTCATCACATTATCAAATAACACGATAACAAGTAGAATCGAAAAATGGAAGCTTTTGTCTACAAAATTGTTAACAAAGTGGTCGCCGACAAATTAGTCGCCTCAATTTCAGAGGTTACTATTTTAGAATGTTAAAAATGATTGCGTATAAAAACTACATTTTTAGCCAAATATGTTTAAGAAAATAAAATTTCACAATAATATGAATATTTGTTTATTTGTAAATTAATTATAATTTCTAGAAGTTCCAAAATCTGATTTAGGATAACCAAACACACGGATTTTATGGAGAATTATAGTTCATAAAGCTCTTAAAATAATCATTTTTCGAGAACTAAACAGCAAACGCACACGAGTTCATATAATTAGCGAACTCAGAGTTCATTATATTTGCGCAAAAGCAACATAAGGACATGAGAGCAAGGACATGCCGCCACAGGGCATTTTATACACATGCTCTAAACAATAGTGTTGCTCATCTACTCACATAAGTATGTTTGTATTTAGCAAACATATTTTCCATATAGTTAATTATTCAAATGGGCAGGCAAGAAAACAAAAATATTTCCATAATGAACAAGCACAAAACCGCACTAATTGTGACTCATAATTAGAGACATGTTAATTGCCAAGCATCACAGGCGTAAAAAAATAATATAAACGAGGAAAATAAAAACAAATAGAAAATAAAGAGATAATAAAAACGCTGCCCAAGGACAGTTGTTATCCAAATTCGCGCAAGTTGAAGTTAAGACTTTGGCCAGCAAAGTTTACGCTGGTCAGCAAAGGACTTGCCCACAGATTGAATTAGTTAATCTAATTTAAGTATAATGTAAACAGGCCACTTTCTTACAGGGAATAGTTTAATGCGACCAACCCAAATCGAAATAAGACAGCAAAAACCAGCCAAAAGGCCCCCAACCCCTTTGCTCAACCACTAATGTCAACTGGTCTATCCGTGGCGCTTGAAGGGGGCAAACAAACAGAATCAAGCCAAACTAGCCTAACCATACAACTCACCCATCCAGCCACTCATCCACTCAGGAGTCATCCTGCCGCCCAGCGGTTTGCATAAATTTTGTTGTGCAAATATTTCATTTGCATATTTTGGTTCTGTTGTGTTTTTTTTTTTTTTTCTATTTTATTTCTTATTTTGTTACGTTTTCTTTTGAACATCTTCCGAGCCCTTGTCTGTGTGCGTGTGTATGTGTGTGTGGGGCAAGTCAAAGTTGAAATTTTCCAAGATGTCAACACACAAAAGCAATTGTCATATGCATCGATTTCAATATGTCTAAATGTTTTTATTTAATTTATGCCACTTGGGCGATCTAGTAAAAAAAAAAAAACATAACAGCAGCTGCCTCAAGCACTGCAGGCACTGTCTTTGATTGCTTTTTAGATTTGTCGGACCTTTTGTACCGTTTGTATTTTCAAAGTAGTAAAATCTCTGTTGTGCATATAAAAAATATAATTAACAAAATAATGATAAAAGAAAATTTAAATGCTTAAAAAATTAGTTTAATTAAAAAATATTACAAATAATAGACTCTCTTAACTTTCAGCTTTCACTGTTCGCGTGCATGGTAATTAATTTCCCTGCATTATCTTAAGCCACAGTCAACAAGTATTGTGTGCTGTTAAAATATCCTCAAGTGCGCTGTTAACTCGACATCCACATGTTAACAGTGCTGAGCGGCGCTCTCTCTCTCTTTCTCTCTATTTTTCTCTATCTCTTTTGCTGTAAATTCATGTGCCACAGCTCGCTCTGCCATTAATGTAACTGTTACTGCTGCTGTTAAACTGGGTGGCAGCCTCAGCGTTGGACACTGTTTTATTGGCAACAGTTTCTTAGCTTCAGTCCTCAGCGAGACTTTGAGCAAGTTGGCAGCGGGTTGGGAATTGAATGACAAACAGGAACAGTCGTTGCGATTATTCACAAAAGTTAAAAGACGAGGCTGTAATTAGGCACAGTAGGGCATTACGCGTTGCTCTTCGAGAGACCTTTGACACGCACTTAAATGCATCGTTAATTAATATTACGACGAGATATGCAAAGTACGCCTTTGACATGCACTTTGACAATCAGTTGTAGACTATTCCACTTCCGCCAGCGTCTTTCCACTTGTAACAGTTTGTTTTTATTTTTTCTGCTGCATGCCTCGTTTCTTATTGGAAATTATGCATGCACTGGCAACTGGGAACCTAACCGACAATTAGAGCTACGCAGGCCGCCTCGATGTGGTTAAGTGGACTGGGAATCAAAGAGCAGCACAGCAAGTGTGCAGTCTTGAAGCTGGCCTCTCCTCTGGCTGCATTCGCAACGACTTGGAATATTATTTTTTGTACGCCTCATCGATTTTGCTTGTGTTTCTTTTTTTTTTATATTTTTTTTCTTACTCGTATCTGCATCTTTTAACATGATATTCCTTTTAATATTGCCGATTCATTGAC